TTAGCTAGCTACCTTTAATTTTCGTATAAATTTCAGCTCTTTTTTTTTTCGAATTTCAATTAGTAATAAGTTTTGTAAAGCCCTTCAACATCTACAAAAAAAAATGTATTATGAGCTAATGGAGCTAATAACTAGGAAATATTAAGCATAAATCAAACATTTAAACATTGATAACATGCATTGTTCTGTCTTGCATGCATTTATTAACGATTAAAATTACAAAGTACATGATACACCCTCCGTTTCTTTAGTAATTCTTGTTTTAGCTTTGTGCGGTTTTCAAAATTTACCTTTAATTATTATTATCTTTAGTTATAATGTATATATTAACAAAATTTATACAAAATTAATATTACAACATATGCACTGAGATGAATTTAACAATATCTCACATGACTACTTATATATACTAATGAAGATTAGTTTAATCATGAAGTGTCAAATTAATTAGGAAAAACAAAAAGAGTGGAAGAGATTACATTTATATTAAAGTGTATACTACGTATGTATATTAAGTTAAATTAAATATATTGTTTACAACTATGTTGTGTAATTTTGTTACGTTAGGCATTCATAACTTGATATTGTATCAACTTCTGTAGTAGAGAAATGTATAAAATTTGGTACATACGAAGTATGTAACATAGTTGGATGATAAAAAAAAAGGGGTAGATCGAGGGTGAGGGCTCTTAGTAGTCTTTTTCCCATGCTATTTTTAAGGTTGGCGAAATTGATGGCATGCATTGATACCAAAACATGCGTCTAAATACTAGGGAGTTGGGATCTGCTAGTCCTTCGAATTGATCGGCAGAAAGTGAGGCAGAAGAAAGTCAAGTATTCAGTAAAATTAAATTACAAACTACTAGGATTAATATATTACACCACACGTACTGCAATATGCTCGTCCAAAAAATAGAAAAAATAGTACATAATTGCATAAATGCATAATGCTCATGCATTCTTAAAGTGCATTAGTGCCATTGACCCATTGTGCCAATACTCTAATAACAGTGGTACTCCGTAGTCCGTACTTGGTATATGACTAAGATTACTTACTACAAAGACACCCAAAAATTTAAAATAGGAAAATTAATACTACTTCCGTTTTTTTTTTTTTTTGACACGTTTTGACTTTAGCACTATTCACTCACTCCCCTTTGACCGTGTTTTGTGTTTTATACGTAATGAAAAATATAGCCATGCGGGATCTTGTTAGATTCGTCACGATATATATTTCCAAAATATCAACTTTTAATAATTTTTGTTTATCGATAATTAAAGATATTAATGGTTGAAGTTGTGCATTGACAAACGTGACTAAAGAAATATGTCAACTACAAAAGAAGCGGAGAAAGTATTGTTTTGTACATAATTACTAGTAAATACGTAATCCACGTTACATACATTTTTTTTAAACGGTATAATTGCTTCCTATATACTTACATTAGATATATCCTCCATATCATGAAATCAAAACTTTTCTATTACCTTTATCGATCCGCTTAGAAATAGTCACATTTACTAGATAGCTTCTATAATTAATAAGGTAACTAGCTAATTTAATTAAACTACTAAACTTCATAAGGCTTATGAATTATCGAGTACAACTTAAATCTTTGGCCCATTTGACTTGTAACATAATAATACCCTACTCTTTACATATTTACATGAAATTATGAGCAAGTAATGTTTTTTGTTTTTCTACCCAATCAAACAACCATAAAGATTGGTCTCGGCATAATAATTCATTAATCACGAGAGAAGTGAGTATTTGTTGTGGCATATTACGCGTCAAGTTATTGATGTGAGGAAGGAGGTGAAAATGGTTAAAGTTACTACAACAAGCTTTGAATTACAACTAGCATGGAGACTAGGCTACTCGAAGATTGTACTTGAATACGTCGTAGGTGTTCGATGTCTTAACTACCTTCAACCTACAAGTAGAATAGCAATAGCAATAGGCCAATAGCTCTTGTCTTTGATCTTTGAGAATTAACTACTCGTTAATTAAGGATTTGGTTTTATTTTCTATTGTTCATTTGCTTAATATAATCTAATGTCATAAAGAACCTACGACGGTATGGTAATCGTCTATGACTAGTGGATCCAAATACTCCCTTGACTTTCTAAACGCTTACCTCCGGTCTCAAGTATAAAACTTATTACAAGTCTTTTATATGTTTACATTATTATGAAACTACTATGTCGAGATTGGGTCAAAGAGGGCTTTTCGGACCGACAGACTCAGTTTTTGAACTGAAAATACATTTTTAATTAGAATTGCCCAATCCTTCACTTTTTTTTTGATTGACTATTAACATAGATAATATTGCTCCGAAGTGGTAACAAATTCTCATATATTGTAACAAGCTCTCAAGAAAAAAAAAATAAAAATAATAGTAGGTTATAAAGGGAGTGTTGTTTCATTATTTGACTTAAATCAAATCTAAACTACTAATTTGACGCATTAAGACAAAATTTAACAAAATCACATCTTGAGCTGGTGAAACTTGTGAAAACCTGCCTTAAAAGTTGTTAGTTAGGTTCAACATTAGGCAAATCGTTGACAAATTAGAAGACTTAATCAAAAACTTCATTATTCTCGAACCTTGAATCTATTTGGACGCAAATCATGAGATCATTGGAAAGGTATATAATAATGAATCCTCACTTTTCCAAAGGCTACAAAAGCCAATGTCCAAATGTGCCACTAAGGAGACATCAACAAGCACAGAACCTTCTTTTATGTAGGCCTTTCCCTTGGCTTACTACACTCATATCTAAGTCCACTACCATTTTTATGTGGTTTATGTGGAATTTGACCCCCATTTTGCTACTTGTACTTTGCCTAAAGTTAAAAGCTTTTTTCCTTTTCAATTTGGATAATGTTTACACATCTTTACTTGTCAAAAAATAGCTTAAGATATTAATTAAATTTGATACAAAGATTTGCGTTTGCTATTAGCCAAACATGGGAGATTTGCGATTATTACAAATAATCTTATTATTTGTACTTATTTTATGTACGGACTATAATGGTTTTATATTGATACTAATTTGCTTGATTTGATGGTGTTTTATTTATCCTTATGATTATTGAGAAAAAAAAAAAAAAAAAAAAAAAACATGCGAATTACTTATAACGTCTGTTTGGATGAAATGCTTTGTAAAAGACACTTTAGGTTAACGAATAATAAGACAAAAGAGCACAATGACCCCTGAACTCTTGCATTTATTAAGGCCCCAAGGTATGCTTCATGAATAGATTACAAATTTACAATAAATAAAAAAAAAACCTTATTAATTTATAATTAATCAACGGGTAATGCTATATATATAAGCATTTAATATATAATTTTTTTAGTATTAAGTTGAAAATTTATTGACAATTCACTAGAAAATCAGTGTAATAAATGTTTATTTATTGTCAATTCTTTTCACTTTTAGATTCTTATATAACCTTAAGGGTTGCATATATCTTTTTCCTTAATGAACACAATTTTCTTTATTTGGAAGGGTGAAGAGTAATTAATGTATTAGACGTTATACAAAGTACTCCGTATTTATTTTGTTTTTCTTTTATTTGATACTGATATTACAAGTTTACAATCCCATACTTTTTTGACACACAAAGATGAAAAGCGTTGACTTTCCATACATTCAATTGTCACCGTGCAAATGAAAAATCCATTTCCATCGGATTTGATACGAAATGCTAATAATACGAAAAGAGTGCGACAAATTAAAGTACACTAAAATATAAGCTGCCATAATTTAAAAAGTCGTCAAACACATCTCACCATTTCCGTAACGTTCATATCACCCTCACTTAAATCACTTCTTTTTGTCAAACTCTTTTAAAACTTAAAACTATTTTTTTTTTCCCGTAAATCTGATTTCAAAATAAATAATAAGGTTATGAAATTGGGTAAACTAAGCATATTCAGATTCTCAAAATATTTAGTTTGTTACTCATAACTCAGATTGAGTTTCATATAGCGTAATACTCTATATGTTTTTATTTTCTTTAATACTCGTAATTGCATCACTTTAATTTTTGCATTGTTCATACACCATTTTGACTATGTATTTCTTACATATAAATGTTATTTGATTAGGTCAACCACGATAAATATTTTATTATTATTTTTTTTATTATTTTACTAATGAATAAACTCCGTATATTGATGGTCAAAGCTGTGCTTTGCCATTATAATATGGATTTTGCTAAAAAGCACCCTAGGCGTTAGATAACTATATAATATACTCCGTAGTACTTAATTAAAATAGTATTAAGTTCGGAATGCATGACAAAATCACGCGTCAATTGATGTAATTAAAGTTAATTTTACTTTAATATTTCTACGTTTAATTCTCTAATCTAACGCCTTGAGGACGCTCATTAGATTTGCCTTATAATATATGTACTGATCAAAGTAATACACTTATTTAGACGAACCATAATATGTCATTTTATGGTAAAAAATAAAATGGAGTAAAAGTAAAAAGAAGAGTAAAATACAATATGAGTAATTATTTTATCTATTTTGTAAGTAATGATTTAATGAAGCATCGGATATGATGCCCAAATGTTGGCCACTCTTCAAGTCAACCTATCTCTCACATTTGGTGAAAAAAATACAAAAAAGTCATAATCTTTCCATTCTCTTCCCCCCAAAATACAATTTAAATGAATTAAATAAAAATTATAAACCTACCTTCCTTCCTCATTTAATTTCTCCCCTGTCTTTTCTTCTCATATTCAATTATTTATTACTCTCCATTTTTTTTTTCAAAATTAATCAGATCTTTTATTACGTAATTAATTACCCTTCTCTCTCTCCTCTCTTTTGGTAGATTCAATTTATTCCATTGCTTTCAATTTCAAATACTTACCCCTCTCTGTTTCTCATTTATTGCTTCATACCCACTTACATCACCATCTCTCTCCCCCCTTTGACTTGCAGATCCTTCATTTTCTCTCTCCTCCACAAAAAAAAAAAAATCCCCACATTTTCTTCATATTAATACTAGAGTTCTAAAAAAAATTCTGGGTCATTGTTAAATTTTTTATTTAATCCAAATTACTTAAAACTAACTAAAAGCGATGGAAAATCCTCCATTGCAACAGCCATTAAAGATGCTAGCTCCGCCACTGCCGCCCCCGCCACTACCACCCCACCAAAACATCCAACCACCAAACTTAAACTTGGACAGCAAAATCAGTCCAAGTATAATCCTAATCATAATAATCCTAGCAATAATATTTTTTGTATCTGGGTTATTACACCTTGTTGTTAGATTTCTATTAAGGCCAAATCAAAGAGACCCAGATGAATTTGCAGAAAGTGTGACAGCACTTCAAGGCCAATTACAACAACTATTCCATTTACATGATGCTGGGGTTGACCAATCTTACATTGATACACTCCCTGTTTTTCAGTACAAAGCAATTATCGGTTTAAAAGACCCTTTTGATTGTGCTGTTTGTTTGTGTGAGTTTGAGCCTGATGATAAGCTTCGTCTTTTGCCCAAATGTAGCCACGCTTTTCATGTCGATTGCATTGATACATGGCTTCTTTCTCACTCGACCTGCCCGCTCTGTCGGGCGAGCTTGTTGCAGGATTTCGGGGCGCCAACGACGAATTCCGCCCACGGGTTTTCGCTCTCGCCTGTCGTTTGTGTGCTTGAATCGGGGAGTAACACGGTGGAGAGCTCCAGGGAGCTGGAGAGGGAGGTTGTCGGGTCGGGGTTAAATCGGGATGAGTTCGGGTCGAGTCGGAGTGATTTAGTAAAATCGAATGAGAATGCAGATGATATTGCTGTGAAAAAAGATGATAAGATTGTTACGGTTAAGTTGGGGAAGTTTAGGAATGTGGAAGGAGGTGAAGGAAGTAGTGACAGTATTGTTACTAATAATAGTAATAATGATCAAAACTACAATAACAATAATAGTAGTGGGAGTAATAATTTGGGATCAAGGAGGTGTTATTCAATGGGATCATTTGCTTATGTTATGGATGAAACGACGTCGTTACAAGTACCAATACGAACACCGGCGAAGAAGGCAAGTAATAGTCGGAATAAGAGTAAGGGTGGTGGTGCTAAGGTTGCGTATAGAGGCGCAATGTCGGAGTATGGGTGCGATTCTAGGAGAGAGTTCAATGGGATTGAGGCATTCCGAACACTTGAGATTCATGGGAATAATAGTAACAATAATGTTGGGAGTAGTAGTAGTAGTAGTAGTATTAAGAAGGAAAGTTTTTCGTTTTCGAAGATTTGGTTAAGAGGTGGTGGAGAAAAGAATAAGAAATTAGGTAACATGAACGGGAATCATGGGAATCCGCGAAGTGGTAATTTGAACGTGAATGGGAATGGGAATGGGAATGAGATCGATCGATCCTCAAGGAGGACTACTTCGGAGTTTGAGATTGATGTGAGTGAATTAGGGATTGATGAAGAAACTCAAAGTTGTTATAGTGTTGATTCATTAGCAAATCCAAATACTACATCTTCATCTACAAGAAGAACATTGATGTGGCTTATGGGAAGACAAAACAAGATTGTTCATAATCATTCTTCCTCTTTCTCATCCAATATTTAGTGTAATCTGATTTTCACTTCTTGTTTTTCAAAGGTAAATTTCTATATGCTACATTTCTACTAGTGTTTTTTTTTTTTTTTTTTTTCAGATTTTGGACATGAAAAATAGGATGGTGATTTTCTTTTTTTAAAGAAAAAAAAAAAGAATTGGAATTGGCGTGATATACAAATTTTTGTGCATGTGATTGATAAACTAAACACCTTTTTTTTTTAGTGAGAAGGAATAGATTGGAATGTTCATTTTGCAGTATATATAAAGTTGATTATTTTTTTGGCTTCGAGATTCCTTTGCTTTCTCTATGCATATTTTCTTTGCCTTATTAATTAGTTGCACGCATTTGCATAATGTACAATTTTTTTTTGTATTGACAGTTTTAACCAAGCTTGTTTCTGATGATAAATACAGTACTTTAAGTATTGCCAAATGTCTAATCTTTAAAAATAATACTAGATTACTAGTAGAACTCTTGTAGCATTAGTTTGGCGCATCCAGGGTGGGGGTGGTACATGGAGGGTGTGGCCGTACCCTCAATTTTGGCCCTGTTCACTTCACCTTATTTTTGCTGAATTGAAATTATTTTTACTGATTCTCTATTATATTTCTTCTTTAAGGTTACTGATTTTTACTGAACTGAACTAATTTTTGCTGAACTGAAATTATTTTTTATTGAACTGAAATTATTTTTACTGAATATTATTTTTTTAAGGTGAAATAAATAGGGTCTTACTAAAAATAAGTTTTATACTCCGTATCTTGTTAAAAAATTCAAAATAATATATAAATAGTATATTTGTTGATTTATTTAAAATAGCCGTATGTTTTTATTACATCCTCATTTAAAAATCCATAATCTTCCATCGATCTGATGAAAGTACAAGTAGTAGATTAAGCAAAGACATCAACTATGTTAGTATAGTATCGTAGTAGTAATACCAACTACTATGTGATTTACCAACTATATTTGGCAATTACTACTACTCCACCCGAAGAAAATCCGTGTTATAGGACTTCTCCAATCAATATTCTAATCGTCCGCCTTAATCAAGAATTTGTGCATTTACAATGGTCAAATTGATTCAACAACGGGATTTTTCCATTAAAACAAGTGTTATTTATAGATGGCCTATCTCTGTTATTATTGATTCATTACTTCATCATCAAATAAATACACGAAGTGTTTCAAAATACATAAGAAAAATAATTGTAGTAGGAAATATTAAAAAACAAGTACATTGAATGATGAAAGGGAAATTTCTGCAATAAGTGTATGATTAAGTCAGTTTTGGAATTTATGTACTTTGGGCCAGTGGGCCCCATATTGCGTTGCCTATTTATAATTTTCAAACAAAAAAGAGATTAATGGATTTTGTAGTTTGTAACGGAAGCCCAACAGATAAGAGTTTGAGGTTCAAGTACTCTGTGTTGCCCAAAATGAAAAAGGGAAACAAATTAGAGATTTACCCTTTGAATGAAAAATTGAAAAGTGGGTGTAACATTTCACTTCCTTCCCTAAAGTGATCATTTATAACTTTCTACAATTTAAATCTTGAAAGATTATAATCATGCTCCAAGAGAGGTTGCCCCGTATGGCTGTATGTACTTATGAATAATGGTTTATCGATCATTTGAATAATTTGAACTAACTACATTTCTTTTTTTAAAAAAAAACCTTTAAATGATCGATAAACAATTAAACACCAAAAAAAAAAATCATATTTATTATTATAGCTTTATACTTGTCAAATGAGTTGATCTGATATGATCTAAGAAAATATTATATTTGGATAAGAATAATTTAGTTGAATATTAGTTACAAGTCCTAAATAATTAACAGGTTAAAATAAGACCTTGTCCAAATTTTAATTAATGGGTGCATTCAATTCAACCATACAATTGAATCAACTTTTAGACACGTGCACGTACAATAATCTGAACTCACTATTCAAACTCAATTCAAAGGTATTTGAAAAATATTTTGTGCTACTTATGAAGCTCACAATACATACATCCAACGACAACGTTGATTGGTATTGAAGGTAAGTTGATAAAAGATGTACTAGTAAGTTTGGTATTAGTCAAGATCAAAGATGAATAAATGAATGATTTAGCAAAGCTTAGAAGGCACAATCCATGGATCCAAAAGATAATTGACTATACGTTATAAATTAATGCGACATTAAATTATAATACTTGTATATCACTACTGTCCGTCTTACAGGCTGTTAAGAGCATTCAATATGCCCAACCAAATCCTTTCTTACTCCTTTCGTCCCCCGTCCCCTTCGTAATATTAATGGTATGATATTTATGTGTCACGTAACATCTGATATAAACTTTGTTTTATGAACTCTATTCTTCCATAACTATCGCCATAATTTTATGGAATTATGAACGGAAAATTAGCTATGTTGGTGACCAAGTGCTTTCTAGAGTATTATGGTTTTAAACTTTAAGTATCACGAGATAGTGTGGTGGATTGGTGGGTCATGGGTCGTGCATGAATATCATTTTCAAAATTTGATATGATTACAGTGTGTCGGTCTACATACTTGCTACGTGGTCTGGAATATGGGGCGGGCCAGGTAAGGGTTTCGTTTATTGAAGATTGGTACAAGCGAGGCACGATATACATTTTCCTTAATCTATTCTAGGCACAACCGGAGAAGTCTTAGTACATACTGTTACTAGGTATTTTGTGTACCATTAGAACCACACATAGTATGTACCATTGAATTTTCATTAATCTAGTAGTACAAAACTACAAATAGAGTTTTTTGAACATGGTAAACTTCAATGATACTAATATGGTATCCGATAGTGCCATTAAGCCTTCAATATTACTATATATGTTTTTAATGTTACACAAAATATACCGTTAAAATTTAAATTTCCTAGAAATGACCAAAATACCCCCATGTTGTATGATGCTCACACAACATGGGTATGTACCTAGAATCCCCTGGCACAACCAGCTAGAGCATAAGACCTGCTGGCCTTCCACGTGGGCTTGCTTGACTCATGCTCAAAGAAAGCAGTGGAATGGGCTGGTCCATACAGAACAACTGAATAGCCCAACATTAAAAAAAAAATAAAAAAATAAAAAAAAAGCAGGACTCCGTTATCTATTATTCTGGACCAGTTTGAGGGCCAATGATTTTAATTATGGGTACCAATTTTGTTTTTCTGAAAGATTATTGCTTTAGGATATCATAATTTGTTCCATTATTATCTTTAATGACCGAGGAAAATGAACCTAATAAGCTCACTCCAATCTTGTAAATCATTTATGATTAGAGTGGAAAATTTTTCATCTATCTATTTGACTATGTGACGAAACATATTCTTGTTGTTGATAGATACAGTGTTTTATGAATGTAGTTTAACCAAATTATAGGAAATGTTATATTATATAAACTCATATAGATATATAGGTTTTTTCCCGGATGATACGAAGTACTTCATAACAATTATCTTCGTTGATTAAAAGGTTGGCCTTGAAGGTGATACGAGATTAAATATGTCTGCATTATTATTTATTAGTCATTTTTTATCATTGCACACATCTTTTACAATGAGGTAACTTGGTAACAATTGTGCTTTTGCTTGGCCAAGACGCAGAGGAATGTTTGCAATGATTTCAGGCCCAATTCTATATTCATCATCTAGTCATTGTATGAGACTAATGTGTATATGGACCCAAAAGTCCAAAACTAGTTTTACGATATCGAATTAAAATTATCAACAACAAGAGGAATTTGACTAATTAGTAATTATTCTAAGGTTTGCACCCCAAAAAAAAAAAAAAAAAAAAAAAAAAAGTAATTATTCTAAGTTATAGCAAGTCAGTATCATCACGTAAATTTGCCGTAAAATGCTAGAAGTATTCTCTAATATTAGAACAAAAATCATTCTACGGAGTAATATATTAAAGGTGACATTGATTTCACGTTAAGTATTTCTCACATTATTTTTAAAATTAATACGGAGTAGTACTCTTTTCTTTCTGGATTAGTCACCTTACTTTTCTAATAATACAACCATTCAAATTTAATAGCTTAGTAACGAACATTTGTCTCACTTTGAAACCACTTTATTCAATGCTTTTATAAATTAAAATGTTAAAAACATAACATAATGGTTCATCTATAATCTTGATTGCAACATATATAATACTAGTTTTGCTCAATTGCTCCTGTCAAGTAAAATTTGTAGGGTTCGATGAAGATAATATATCAATCCAAAGTTTAAGCTTTTATTCATCGTAGTTGTAATAACAAATAGTACAAACAAACCAAGGATTTGGCATAGGAAGTATCTACATACTTCCAAGTATATAGTATTTTATTTGCTTAACACTTGTAATAGTACGAAGTATAACATAATTTGCCATCCTTCTTATTGGTAGTTCTTCGAGAATCAATTCCTTATAGTTTAGACCCTATAATCACAAGAAAATGGTTATTGATGAGTTTATATGAATTTCAATGATACAATAGTATTATTAGTACGTACACTACTAAAGTGGTTATTGACTTACGGGGTGTAGTCGATGTTAATTCTACCGGCATTAGGGTCAGCAATCACGGAAAAAGCTTCCATGGAGAGATCAAGGCCGTTTGCTGAGCAACCGGGGCAAAGGTCTACAACTTTGACGGTTACACTACCACCTCGGCAAGGTTGAGGTACGCCTTGGTTGGTTCCACTAGTACAAGTGACACGGTACATCCTACCACAAGCTGCCCTATTTTGGAAGATGTCCGCACTTGCAGCTGCTATCATCGTTCCTTGGTCTTCAAATCCATAACATGATGAAGCTACAAAACAAATTCATACATAAGAAGGAATTTTAATATATAAATATATACTAAAATAGTAATACTACCTCAATATTTCCCCCTAGAAAATTGTCTCAATAATACACAAGTAATGCTATGACAGGGTTTTACGTACACAATGTAGCAACTTCATAATTCTTACTATAACTCTACATAACACGTCTATTTATATATTTATATATTGGAATTAGTATGAGATCGAAAGAGGAAGTATATGATAGGATGTACGTGTACCGATTCATGTAATGAAACATGATGAATATGTATGTTAAGATACTTACGAACATATGTAGTGTAATATGTGGCAGTTCCGGGAATGGCAATTGCCACTGATGCAAAAGATGCAAAAATGGCTATGACGATCATGGAATGTACAAGAGAAGCCATCTTCAATCGAATGAAAATTACTTATCAACAATAAATTTTATAAGATGTATAATATGAAGCGTTCGTTGCATGAAAAATAGCAGCGACATACCATCTACTTATAGAGGTCTAGTAAAGACTAAAGAGATAACCGGTCTATGTACGCATCTTGATTTTTCATATTTGACTTGCTGTATAATTATGACTTAAGAACTTGGAAATAACTTCTTAAGATTTACACGCAATAATAGAAATTTCTATAATTTCAACCTAAAGAGTCACTATATATAACAACATATGGATCGGATTTGGTTTTCTTTAGATTATATTATATGGTTCAACACGATTATGACAATCAAATAATTAAGAATTAAAATCACGAGGGATTTTAAGTTGCTAAGTTTCGTTCATTGACCCAATGTGTCATTTTTCAAAAAATAACACCACAATATGATGATGTGTCATGTTATGATTGGTCATTTTTTGATTTATTTTTAAAATTCTAAATGTATTATACATGTATGTATAATTGTAAATACATGTATTATTTTAGAGGATACGTAATTATAGTTTTTTAAAATTTATTTTTATCTTTTTTAAATCATTTTCGAAAATTAAAATATAATTAAAATTTAGAAAATAAAAAATTCATCATTGTTCTTCATTCATGATCTTAATTAACCACCCTAAAAATCTTGTATAATCTATTCGGAATTCCGTCCATAGATCAGATTGATTGCATGGGTTTTCGAATCTGCTTCCATGATTCGTATACAAATTTCGTTTAGGGTTCGATTTGATAATATTGATTTATATAAAAATCAAGTTGTTTGATGGTATTAAGGATGAAAATAGCCTTAGGAGCATGTATTATACTATTATGATGATCTAAAACACAGATCTTTCAATTTTTTAACGGCTCAGTGGATAACGAGGGTGTGCTATGCGATTTAGAGTTCGAAATATTTTTTTTTCGCAAACTTGTTTGATCCATAATCGAGGTCCGCGATTATTGTAATATGTTTGTGGTTAAGTAATTACCTGTATTTAGTTAGGTCATTACCTAAAATTTTAGTTTTAATTTGTACACATTTTTTTTTATCAAAAAAATAAAAAAAATAAAAAAAATCAAATTTAAGCATAAGTTTAGGAACCATCTTTTTATATATATATTTGATAATGATAACTTTCTTAAATTACATGCCGTATACATCTATATCCATAATTTTAGGACCCATTTTTTTATTATCATTAAGGAACACGTTCTTTGCCATTTTTATATATATCATATATTTATATTTTTGTTTACATAATTATGCCTACACATATATATATGTACTAGGTATTTTTTGTACCATATATATACATATATAACAAAGTTATTTTTGTATACAAATCAAATAAACAGTTACAAATTCAATGAGGGCTTCAATTCAAAAAAAAAAAATCAAAAACTGCTTAAAAAATTTCAATTAAAATACCGTTTTAAATTTCAAATTTATAAAAGGGATTTCTTAGAAACAAAACGAAAATGAAAGGATTTGTTTTTAGAACAAATTTTAATGAGGGGGTTATTAAAAAAAAAAATCGAAAGCTGCATTAAAGTTTTCAATATAATTTCATGTAATACTATATACTTATGGTAAAGGTTATTACCTTGATATGTAAAACTAAATTATGATTTGTTGAATTCAAAATAATATTTTATTGTCTTTATAGCTAGTGAATTGAAGTTAATTTTACTTAAAAAAAATTTAGGTAATGGTACAAAATGATGAATTAACAATTAGTTGCAATTGGTGTGGCTCTACGGTTGTTTAACCGTAGGTTTTTACCATTAATGTTAAAGGTTAATACTTTGAAATATCAAAATACCTTATTTGTTAAAATATGTATCTATGAAACTAATTTCAATCATCATCAAATATGTATCTATGAAACTAATTTCAATCATCAAATATGTATCTATGAAACTTATTTCAATCATCATCATTAAAACTAATTTCAATCATCATCAAATATGTATCTATGAAACTTATTTCAATCATCATCATTAAAAAAAAAATGTCAAAAAAATATCAAACTAGTATGTAACTAAAAAAAAGTATGTTACATACAAATCTAATTCAAAACTTAGTTTGCCATTGGAGTTGGATTGGAGTAGGGCTAATGTTGATTAATATATGTGACCTATAATATTATTTATTGAACAAGTACGGGTGTCAGTGAACAGAGCCGATTATTTATTCAAGCTCGGTTGAAGCTTTGTTCATGTTCTCATATGAAATCTCGGATCGTGTATGGACTCGCCTAAGTTAAATGAACATGAACATAATACTCGGCTTAGTTCATATACACCTCTATGAATAGTACAAGCATTAAAGTTTAGTCATTACTCCCATCGTTTCATAACACTTGCAAAACTTTCCGTTTTTATCCGTTTAATAATATTTGCAATATTTCCTTATTTTGTAATGACCTACAATTACCTTCTATTTCTATTAACACCACTTACACTACTTTTTATTACTACATTCCTTTCACCTATTAACAATTAAATATATCTCTAGTAACCATACTTTATATCAAACAATCCTCCTTCTGGTCACAACCCTATAATTTTCCAAAAACTTTTAGCCAACCCCACTATTGCGATTAATATAAAACATATGGAGTATTTATTTTCTAACAATATATAAGTATATTATAGTAGAGTGTGAGAAAGTATATCATAATTTAATATTTTGTCACGTCCATAATATAATAAGGTTAATACCAGAGTATAAAAAACACTTATTTTCTATGTAATGACCAAACATAGTTTACGTTATCACCTAACCCACAAACAAGTTTGAGAAAACTTAATTACATTTATCAGAAACTGCAAAAAACACAATTTGTTTACGAATTTTTATCCCAATTTTAGTCCGGATTTGCGAATTCATCAACAACTAACATTGATTTTGGGAATAGGGGGCTAATCTATGACATGATTGATGAACATTGATGAAAAATATGAACAATGATGAACGATTGTTGAACAACCTTGAACGATTTTAATTTTGTGAATTTTAATTATAATTATAAATTCGAAAATTAATTAATATTACAAAAAATAGATTTTCATAATTTATATTATGTATTTCTAAAAAAATGTATGTATTAAAAAGAATACCAAATAAAATACAATTTTAATACATTATGGATATTAAAAGTAATTTAAAATAAAAATAAAAATAATAAATATAGGCTAATCAGATTTTACCACATCAACAAATTGTGGTGTCATTTTTAATGAATGACATTGTAGAATTTTCACAATTAAGAGCCATTAGTCCGATCCTTATTATTTTTTTTTTAGAGTAAATTAGGGATTTTACGCATGCAATTTCATAAAGGATTTTCTTCCATGGTGCTCCTAGAGGAACACAGTACAATACAGTTTACAAAACAATCTAATGAGCTACCTCATCTCTTCTTTTATTTTCTATTTGATCAATTGATTGCTTAATTAGTTCAATGAAATAATAGTTACATCAGATTATTATTCAGATTTAACAATTCTTAAGTCTTATTTATAAGGTTATGCATGATGATTACTCCCTTCGATCCATTCCCTAATATTTTCATTCTTTCTGAGGTTATGCATAAGCTTTTAATATTGTTACAGTGTTTATCAATACTAAACTAGCAAGCAATAATATTGAATGATGAAAAATTGATAATGATAGAGTATATAAATCGATCCTGGATTTCAATCATTAGTTTAAATTTTTTGGTTGAGATGGTCCTTTTAAGTGGAATATTAAACACAAGGTATGGGGAGGGATCATGCTGCATCCACACTTCAAGCCCAACAAGCTCTTATGTGAGGGGGCGTGATGGAGTATAGAAACATATTCTACGCCTCAACGAGCCAGTGTGACACAAAGGTCATGGGTTTGAATCTCATCCATCCCTCCTTTCAAAGTAGAATATTAAATGCTTGGTATGTTGGAGCCCATGATACATCCACACTTTAAGCTTAATGGGCTCTCATATGAGGGGGCGTGATAGAGTATATAAACTGATCTTGAATTTCAACCATTAAGTTAAACTTTTGGTTGAGATGATACTTTAATAGATAAAATAAATGACAAATATTAATACAAAATCTTTGTTAGGTACGAAATTGAGTTGAGATTCTACCTGGATATAGAGGTTTATTTACATTTGTACAATTGAGTTTGAGTCCTATGTAAATTTAGAGAGTTAAAGTATTATAATATGATTAGTTGAGTACTATTGTAATAAAATATTCTTTTTATTTGTTTCAAAAAAAAAAATTATCCTTTTTATATTTGTAAGTTGTTCTTGTTTAAATTATTAAATTTTATTTCTTAAAAAAAAAAAAAATATTTACTGCAAAATGAAATTTATTATTTTTGTGTAATTATGTCTTAATCACAGATTCTTATATGTGGTCCTTTGCCTAATAAATGATTAGTATTAATCTCTTTGCCTAATAAATGATTAGTATTAAAGTACAACAAAATTTCTTTGCCTAATAAATGATTAGTATTAATCTCTTTGGCTTGTATTATACGTACTAGTCATTTCATTGCGTCATCTATTGTCATTTATGTTATAACTACTTTTATGATAAATGACATCAGCGAGCAACGATGCGTGCAATAATTTTAAAACTTCACTATCAATTTGATTGACGATACAATAATATTTGACTAATTAACCTTATGAAAGTTGCAACAATAAATTTACCAAAAAAAGTATATGTTAAAATTTGAAATAAATCATGCTAACTAATCAGTAATCTATATATATAATCAAAAAAATAATTTGACATTTATAGATCAATCATTTCAAAAAAATGAATAAAATAGAAACGAAAACAATTAATAATTTATTTATTTATTTATTTATTTTAAATGTTAATTGTCAATTATGCTTCTTTTTTTTTTTTTTTTTTTTTTTTTTTTTTTTTTTTTTTTTTTACCGTTACGTGATTTTAAAATTATTTTCTAACTTATGATCTATACTGAAATTTCTTAGGTCCACAATTAAGTATAGTTGGCAATTCAACGTTGTCAGGTTTTTATGTT